TGACTACAAATATGCAGGAAAGTTATATAACGAAAGTAAATTGTGAAATTCAAAGAATGATAACCAGTATATTATTTCGAAAAATTAAAGCCTAGAAGAATTCTCTTTATTGGATCTGAATTATATACTGTTGTCTTATTGTTAGGTAGAATTGTATAGACAGGTAGTTTCAGAAATATTTCGAGGAAAATTGTCAGTGCCTCTAGATAAATTTATATCTTAGAAAATGCAATACAACAGATTACATTTACATTGTAACATTGTTACGAGACAGTTTCAGCTTGATAGGATTATATACTGTTCTACATCGTCATTTACTGCGTAATTATAGTTATAATTTTGTTGATTCAATTTTATTGTTTTACCGATAACGCAATTACGACAGTGCAACCGCGGTTTTTCTTAAAAAGGCAGTTATCGTTGCACTGATAACACGTAGTACGCGTATATCGCGACAATGTCACGAAAATGATCTTAAATAAAAGAGATGAATCTGCCTCGTTGAAACGAATATATTTATGTTCGCAACGTTTGTTCGTTATTAAAGAGATTGAAAAGATGGACTTACCGTTCAGATGCCTCCTCTCGTTCTCCTCTGTTCGTCTCGATCGTTAACAAACGACTGACTATTCTTGAGTAAATCACGCAGATAACAGCAGTGGAAATTAGTGGATTCGTGGTCGTACAACAGATAAAAATTATGCCTTTAAAAAAAACGAGTTCGCTTCTATCTGCTTGTGATGATGCGAGATGAATACGTCGGCTGTCTTCTTACGAAGGAGAAAATTGATAACTCTCAATGACGAGCCTCTCTAAGCGATATTCACGGGCAATTTCGAGAAATCATTTGTTTCTCTGTGTTATCGTTTTCTAATAGATTATTATTAGATATAACGTAAATCACATATGTAAGTCAAATTGACGTAAATTATCTCATGTTATCTCAATTATGCGGCATCACGAACATTCGATAGATTTCACTTGAATTATGATTCACCGTTGAACTTGTCTGGATAGTAAAAATCTATAGAAGACGTAGCAAAGTGTCCACTACAAATCTTTTCGGCAGCAAAAATCTGCTAATAGATTAGATAGCTAATTGAATCTGCAATTTCATAGTCATGTAAATGTAATATATTCTAAATGATAAACGGTGATGTTCGGTTTCTATTAAAAATCTATTATCGGATTGTGTCAACAGGTTTTGCTGTAGAGAACATGAATTTAACAATTATTGTCAATCTACCACAATATTTTGCTGGAATCTGCCGGCAAACACTATTAACACTTTGTGTTTACTGCATTATAAACAGGGTTGAGAAAGCTTCTGAAAGAAAATTTGTTACGACTCATTAATCAAAAAGTAATGAGTCGTAAACAATTTACTTTTTTTATCAAGTTTTGAAGATTTTTTTAGAATTCGCTCATGTTCGTTTTATATATATTAGTCACTCAACAATAATTGTAATACCGTTATTAAAAAAATATATAACTGTTGTTACTCGTCCTGAAAAACAAAAAAATTGTAACAACAACGCCGTTATCTGTTCTAATTATAAGGGTAAATTACAAAAGAACTCTGCAATGCAACTTCCCTAGTTATGAGATTAAGACTTAAATTAAGATTTATAATTTTTATTATTTTTATTATTATTCTTATTTTTAATTAATTTTATTATTTTAATTTATTTTATCATTTTATTATTTATCTTATTATTTTAATTTTTCATATATATATATCAAATAGACGGAGTGACTGGATTGACTTCTGGAAAGGAAGATAAAAGGGGACAACTTCGTCTGTTTAAACTTTACTTTATTACATTCTGTTAGAAATAATACACAAAAGATTCCGGAGGCGGCAGAGGTCTCCTTACTGCGGAACACGCAGGACGTGCGGGTGTCGCCCGTTTGTAAGTGAAAGTCCCCCGCGAAAATTGGCAAACCGTCGCCCGCAACCCCCCGTGCGGATCTATATCTGTATATGTGTATATGTGTTTATATATATATATATATATATATGTGTGTGTTACATGAGTGTATACATGTACGTGTATGTTGATGTGCAATTCTCCTTTTATTTCAAATCTCACCCAGCGACCGCGCGCGCGCGCACGCCAGCACGTTGCATCTAATTAAGAATATACAATCTTATAATAATATATACTTATATTTTATATATATATATATATATATATATATATATATATATGTATATGAAAAAGAGAGTCTGCGAGGGATCGTAAATAAGCGCGCGGGTGGGCGGCGTCGCAGGAAGGGTCGCAGGATCGGTTGGCGAGGTTGATTTTAAAACGAGTTTAAATGAAAAATGCCTGCATAAATGCGCCATTTAAACGGATATGTAGCGCGTAGGGCGACCCGAGCGCTTTTCTGTGTATTCTCTTTTCGCTTTTGGGATTCCACAGCACGTCGATGACAAATCTGTATCTCGCTGTATCTGTATCTGTGTCTCGCCTGTCTGACACGAGTCCGAAGGACTCATCGGTGAAGACGTCCGAAGGACCGAAAGATCCTGATCCCGAATCCTATTTTGGATCCTATTTCAGGACTATCTAACTGTTTCGTTCGTCATCCTTCAGACGTTTTCCGGATAGATTCTTTTGGATCTTTGCTACGTCCGTCGCGAATACCAAGACGACTCGATCACGCGATCGAAGATCTGAAGAAGTACGCCAGGACGAAATCGTGAACGAGAATTTATGCGGGGCTTGCAATTTTTCCACCAAAAACGCTCGTCCTTACATCTTATCGTGAACAGCTGATGCTTCGAGGCGAG